GCTTTGAGACAACTAACTGCTATTCAATCTATAACAGTGAAAAAAGTTTTTTGTTTTTAAATGCAAGCTATTGTGACACCAGTGAGTGAGTGGTGGCACTGGGCACAGTATCCACTGTGAGCCTGACACACCCGCTTTGAGACAACTAACTGCTATTCAATCTATAACAGTGAAAAAAGTTTTTTGGTTTTAAATGCAAGCTATTGTGACACCAGTGAGTGAGTGGTGGCACTGGGCACAGTATCCACTGTGAGCCTGACACAGAAGCTGGCAGGCAGGCAACTGCAATTACATTACACAGAAAAAAAAAAGCAGACTGATGTTCTAGCCCTAAAAAGGGCTTTTTGGGGTGCTGTCCTTACAACAGAGAACAGATGAGTCCTTCAGGACTGTAGTGGACACTGTATACCCTAACTTAGCTATGCATTTCCCTATCTAATCAACAGCAGCTACACTTTCCCTCCTCTCACTTAGCATGCAGCTTGAGAATAAATGTAAAATGGATGCCTTCCAGTAGGTGGGAGGGTCTGCTAGGGAGGGTGTGCTGCTAATTGCCTGGAATGTGTCTGCTGACTGTGAGGTACAGGGTCAAAGTTTACTCAATGATGACGAATAGGGGGCGGATCGAACCGCGCATATGTTCACCCGCCGTGGTGAACGCGGACATACTATGTTCGCCAGGAACTATTCGCCAGCGAACCGTTCGGTGCATCACTAAGCATAGGGTTAAAAAATTGTCACTGCAACTAGAGGTGCATAAAGATTAGACATGTGCAATTCGTTTCGATCCGAATTTAAATTTGGACGAATTTCGGAAATTCAGACATTCGGATGCTTCCAAAGGTCCGAATTGCTGAATTTCGGAAGTGCCAGACAGAATCGAATTTCCAAAGTGACGAATTTCGGAAGTGCCGTAGTGCTTTGGATTTCTGAAAAGTGGCAAAACAGGAGAGGGAGGTAAAATTAAGGGAATGATGACGGGAATCTAACCCTAACCCTACTCCTAACCCTACCCCTAATCCTACCCCTAACCCTACACCTAAGCCTACCTCTAACATTTACGCCAACCTTCCTCTAACCCTACCCCTAACCCGAACCCTACCCCTAAACCTACTTCTAACTCTGCCCCTAAGCCTACCCCTAACCCTAGTAGGGATAGGGTTAGGTTAAAGGTTAGGGGTAGAGGTAGGGTTCGGGTTAGGGTTCGGGGTAGGGTTAGGGTTATGGGGTAGGGTTAGGTTTAGCGCTATGGGATAGGGTTATGGGGTAGAGTTAGGGTTGGAAGTAGTGTTTGGGGTATGGTTATGGTTAGGGATGGAGAATTACCAAAGTCTCAAATTCCCGAAGTCAAGAAAAGTTGCCGAACCGAACCGAAGCGCCGAATTTCGGAAGTGCCGAACCAAATTGCCGAAGTCCCGAATTGCCTAAGTCCTAAATTTCAGAAGGGTCGAACCAAATTGTTTGCCCATGCACATCCCTAATAAAGTTGACTGCCAGAAATCAGAAGTGAAAAAAGTAGGAAAGTGATTTTTAAAATAAAAAAAAAAGATTGGATGACAAGTGTTACTTCAACTGCTTTTATACATGAGTTCAACTACAAACTACTGTCAAGGCAATATCATCTTTTTAAAAATAATTAACTATGTAACACTTTTTTTGTTTTATTAATTTGTTATATAAGAATCCTGCATTGGATTTTATTTTCTGATGTAAAACATTATTAAACATGTTTAAAATAAATTAAATGTACATGTGTGTATATATATATATATATATATATATATATATATATAAAACGTCATACGTAGTGTATTTTGATATTAGTATAAGTACATATATTAGTATTAAAATACACTTAGAATAAAGTTACATATATAAGATATATATAATACATGGTATACTCTGGAGGTATCGATCTACTGAACTATTCAATTACTCAAATTTTAGAATACTTATAATAGCTATCAAAATCCTCTTACTACTTGGAGTGACCTTTGACACTACTCTACCCAGACGTTTCAAGGTGTATTATCACTCTGTTTATTCACAATGTCACATTTGTTTGGGTTTTGGATTTTCACATAGAACCTACTGTTCTAGTTAGGCTCTTTATATTTTAATATCCTAATATTTGGATTTAATAATGGTTTATACCACTTATACAAATGTTTACTTTTATAGGTACTTCTTTTGGTGGAGTGGGAGTCCACACACTTTAAGTGGGCGGTCTTCCCAACCTGCTTTATTTTGAGTCTATACCAAAGGCTTATACCATATTTATGGAAACTTAATTTGTTTAGAGGTTCTCGTTTATGGAGGAGGGACCCCCCACATATTTGTGAGGCGTTATCCTGACTCCATTTAGTAGTTTCTGTTCAATTTACTTTGGGTGATGCCCTTGAGTTCCTCTGTAACCGATTAGGAGGCACCAGTGCTGACTAGTGTAGCCCTGTTGCCTCTTCTTGTGTGGCCTTTATTTTATATAATATACATACGTATAATTACAATAAATAAGTGAAATAATGCAATAAATAAATAAAATATTATGAAAATTATATATACATATGTAATTTCACTCTAACTGTATTATGTTATTAATATAATATTGGTAACAAAATACACTTAGAATGACATTCTATAAATATATATCTATCCATATATAAAATACAAATAACGCAAATATATATATATATTGATAAATATATATAATTACATAAATGATTACATAAGTATACACGTAGAATTTAAATACATATATACACACATATATATATATATATATGAGTATATATATATTTAAATTCTATGTGTATATTTAAGTCATCTTTTAACATAATTATGTGATTTTATTCATTAAAATTTGATAGACGTACCTGACAACCCAGGTAGAAAGTGCAGAGAATTTAATTCACAAGCACTGTAAATAATCCTGTAACTTTCCAAGACACCATAAAACCTGTACATAGGGCATACTGTTTTACTCGGGAGACTTCGCTGAACACAAATATTAGTGTTTTAAAATGGTAAATTGTATTACAACAATGATACTTTGCATTTTTCACACACGAACTGCATTTTTAATGACAATATTATTGTTGTAATATGTTTTACTGTTTTGAAACAATAATGTTTGTGTTCAGTGAAGTCTCCCAAGTATAACAGTACCCCCCCATGTACAGATTTTATGGTGTTTTGGAAAGTTAGAGAGTCAAATATAAGGCTTGCATTTCATTTTTTTCACATTGAAATTTGATGGTTTGGTAATGTTGCCTTTGAGACCGTATGGTAGCCCAGGAATGAGAATTACCCCCATGTTGGCATACCATTTGCAAAAGTAGACATACCAAGGTATTGCAAGTGGGGTATGTCCAGTCTTTTTTAGTAGCCACTTAGTCACAAACACTGGCCAAATATTATTTTTTTGCTTTTTTCACACAAAAACAAATATGAACGCTAACTTTGGCCAGTGATTGTGACTAAGTGGCTACCAAAAAAGACTGGACATACCCTACTTGCAATACCTTGGGTTGTGTACTTTTGCAAATGGTATGCCATAATGGGGGTAATTCTCATTCCTGAGCTACCGTATGGTCTCAAAGGTAACATTACCAAACTGCAAATTTCAATGTGAAAAAAATGAAAAATTAAATGTGCTACATTTTACCCTGAAACTTTCCAAAACAGCGTAAAAAAACTGTTAATGGAGGGTACTATTTTACTTGTGAGACATTGCTGAATACAAATATGTGCATTTTATTTTTACAGTAAAAGCTAACAGTATTATGATATGTACAGCTAAAATGTCAGGCAGAACTAAAATTATTTTAAAAATCTTAATTTCTCCGTTTTTTTTATTTTATTCATAATAAATTATGTTCCATACATGAATAGTTCATGAGAAATTAAAGCCCTGTTTCTCCTGAACAAAATGATATATAATAAGTGTGGGTGCACTTAATATGAAAGAGGTGAATTACGGTTGAACAGACATATAGCGCAATTTCCAGTTTTTGTTTACATTTTGTTTTGATCAGAACGTGTACTATTGACTCCGTCCTGAAGGGGTTAATATATTCAGTATGTTTGTAACACTACCAATGTTGTGTGTATTTGTATGAATGGGAAATTCAGGTCCGATGTACCAAGGAGCTGAAATTATGCATTTTTTTATTTTTTTGTATTTATGTAAAGATACAAGAAAAAAAACTGAAGATATAAAAAAAAAAAAACCTATATTAAAACCCATCTCTTCAGGAAAGCGTATGGCCTCTCAGTGTAAGCTCTGCCTTGCATACCTGTCCCTTGCTCTCTCCTAAAGTGCAGCACTCTACTCTCTCCTCCAGCTCTGTTTTACTCCCACCTTGTTTGATTGCCATCTCTTGTCCTATTGTGTTTTTAAACCCCACCTCCTCTAGGTGGTAAGCTCATTTGAGCAGAGTACTTTTGAACCTATTGTTCCTGTAAGTTTTTTGTAATTGTCTCATTTATTGTTTAAATCTCCCCCTTCTATAATATTGTGAGCGCTACGGAATATGTTGGTGCTATATAAATGTCAATAATAAATAAATAAATGTATTTCTATTTTTATTTGTTTTATGATATGCAGATGTCCACTTCAATATATTGTAGAATGAAATCATAACCAGCGAGACATATTGTTACTCTTCTCTCCACAACTTTACCTACTTATCTATCTATACAAACATATTTTTGTTGATTGGTTTGGTTTTGTTTCCCTAATTTTAAAGATGTCTTTTTTTTTATTTTGTGCACATTGTATGTGTGTTTTCGTAATATTGAGGATGTGATGTATGTTTTATTCTTTGCACATTTGTTCATCTAAAATAATTAAAAGATACACTTCATATAGTCACTATTTCATGTATTTAATAATGTATCTATATAATCTATTTTCATGTAGCTTGAAATATACAGTTAATAGTTCTGCTTTTTTTGTCTAACTTTTTGTATTTCATTTAAAATTGTAAATACATTGTATGCAAATTCTATTATTGTGAAGCTTGTTCATTGCTCCAGTTAAAGTTATAAAACAAAAAGGCACACATACAAAACATTATTTCAACATCTTTATTTTTCAAATGATTGTGATTTGAAAAATGTTCCTGGGTATGAGTAATGGGTAGTTGATGTGGTCTCCCTCCATCACAAGGATGCTTTTATTTAACGGTATTTTGATGTCAGAACACACGCAACTCGATCCAGAAACTTATCCAAGGCTATGTGAGTACAGATATCAAACTTATCATGAAAGTGGATGGCAGTAACAACCAGGATGTTTTGAGCCAGTAGCTGTGGAAAGAGAAAAAAAATGAAGAAATTGATAGATAGTTTTCACAAAGTGGCATTGTTCGTTCTGTCTAACAGTTCACACTCATTTAGTAATAATCACAAATTATTTTTAAGCAATACTTAATAACAACAAACTAAATGAACATCTGAACATATAGGTATAACACGACTAATGTTATATACCTGTCCATTACCCACGCATGAAAAATGTCACAAGTAGTAGCAGCAGCTACTATTCAGTACTTACAGGGAAGTTGCCAGGATCTACTCTCAGATCATAAGCATGAAGGTCACTCAGCTTGTTCAGGGCTCCTTGGATGTTGTCCAGGTGGTTGACAGCCTCCGTCAGAGCATCAATTACTTTCTTGCCATGAGCTTTCAAGTGGGTCGATTTGGGGGTTAAATCAAAGCTTGGGAAGTAAGTCTTCGTTCTTTTCTCGGTGATAAACATCCTGTTGAAGAAAGTGAAATGGTAAAATGACAGTCTTAGGTGAGATACGATGTTCTATTCTGCAATCCATTTTTGCCCATGCAAACCTGTAGACATTAATTGACTTTACCTGCCCATTGCTTCTGCACCAAGTTCCTCGCTGCAACCAGAGAGTAATGGCCAAAAGCATTTGATGACTTTCTTGTCGTCAGCTGTGAGAGCCATGGCTGATCGTGTTACAAAATTAGTAGCGCACGCTGATGTTGGGTCTCCCAGCTACCTTATATAGGGTGAGAGCAAATATTCTGGTGGAATTACACACCCTTTATCTTTACTCCATTGGACTGGCTAGTGGCCATGAACCACAGACTCCACCCATGTCACATACAGACACACCTACCCTGCTGGAAATCTTGGGTTTCTGACAAACCAAATTTAATATAGCCTTGTAATACAACACTGGTGTATCAAGTATTAAAATACAGATAGAGATCTGAAAATCAATATCTGCTATGTGACACTGATGAACCAGGTGGAATCTGATATAGAATCTGATTGGATGTTTCCAAACCTACAGTGCATCCAGAGATGCTTCATCTCAAACTGCTACACTGTTACAATAACCAATAGAAACTTTTAAAACTGAATTCATTTTATAATAAATAAGTCACCAGTTAGTGTATGTGAAAAAAGGTGTTTAAAATTGAATTTATAACGACTTCAATTGATGTTTTCCCCCCAAATTACTATTTTTAATATAGTCCACATAGTCTTTTTGCAGATTGCATATTCAGTTGCCTGTAACTGTAAAGGAAGGGGGGGGGGATAAATGTTATGTTATAGTTAATAAAATCAACAGTTTGTGTATGTGAAATAGTTTTTTTAAAAATTGAAGTGATAAGACAGAGTTCATTGATGAAGGTTTTGACACATGAACTTTTATAGATACTATCTGAAATTAGTTTACAATGTTTATGTTGTTTTAAATATATATTGTATATATAAAAACACTTTTTTTATGGTTTGAACAAATGTATTATGACTCCTACCAGACCCTTACTTATCTTATTATATTTCATCTGATGTCGTCTTTATATGCAATACAAATAAAGAATGTAAAAAAATAAATTAAGGGATAACAAATTCAGTTGATGTTTTGCACCAAAATTATTATTTTTATATAACCCACATTTTATGTTTTACAGTTTGTATATTTAGTTGCCTGTAACTGTAAAGGAAATGTATGTTTACTTTTCAAAATGAAATATAGTATAACTATAATAAATAATAAAAAAAATATGTTAAAGATGAAGCAATATGTCCCAGCAGGGTGGCTTCACCATTATTGTTACAGTGTTGTGTGAAATAGTTACTTTTCAGATTTTTAGCACTTGGTTATAGTGTGTACTTTACTTCACTTTACATAGTATGCTTTACATACCTTCTTACAAGCAATAAGCCATCATTTGCACGGACATCTTAGTGTCCACAGTGGGAGTCTATTTTATTTTAATTTATTCTCTCCTGTAAAAATGCATCATCTGTAGTTACTAATGTCTTCCTATGTGTTTTTCAATGCTGCATAATTTTAGATAGCACTGAAGATAAGTTTATAGGACTTCTTTTAACATCAACATATAGGTGATAATCCCTTTTCATTGCAATTTTATACACTTTTCCTTTAGCAGAGAGAACTGTTCACAGGACTTTTTTTTTTTTAAATCAACATTTAGGTGATAATTTATTTTCTGGGTAATTTTATACACTTCTCCTATAGTAGTAACAATGTTGTTATATGTTAGTTTTTGTACAGATATGTATTTGCACATATTAACTGTTTACTCTGTTTTCTCCTGGTTACTAATTAAACGTGTGTGCATTAACATTTATAGATGTTTTTCATTGCTGCATATTATGGGACATAAGTAAGGGGTTAGCCCCTATTAGGAGTGTTTATGTGGATCTAGCTTATCTTTTTTCTAATATATATATATATCTATAACAATATATGGTATAGCTACACATACCAGTGTGTTTTGACAAAGTCAAATTACATTTACAATGAGCTAGACACCTTTGAAACTATTAGTACATATATACATCGGGAACTAAAGCATTCATATTTTGAATTTTAGAAATTAAATATAAACTTGTTGAACATTTTTATCCAAATAACCACAATAAATTAATGTAAATTATTATACATTGGGATAATACAGCATACAGTCATATTTATTTTTTAAAAACCATATATTGTATAGATTTCAACTATAAATTAACGTAGGCGAATATTTATCAGTTTGTGTAATATGGTACATGTAATCCACTGTATATCTTTTATTGTTTTTGTGTGTGTATGTGTCATATTTTGTTAAATTTGGCTAGAACTAAAAATAAACTGACACTGAAAACCTGATATTGCATAACTAATCCAAAAGACATTTAGCATAACTGAATTCTAATAAAAAAAACATTCTACTGAGTTTATAAGAGTTAAAAATAAACAATCCTTTGTTAAGTCAGTGAACTAGATTTATGGTAATTATATATGTTTATTATATAGGAAGAGTCACTTCCATGGAGTTTACACCATTGAATAAAACATTAGAAATCATGTATACCTTGTCTTAACCTTTTATTCATAAGATGCACCGTTTCCTTTTACATTTATATTTATATTAAATATTTAATAAATTACTTAATAATAATGTTCAGAAAAGGCAAATGCTGGGTAATACTTGCAAAAAAGGTGGAGAAAGATATGTATTAAATATAGGGATAAGTAAATATAATTGGGCCGAGGCCACAGCAAGCTTGCAAAGTTTTTACTAAATTAGTAGATTTGGAAAAATGCCTCCATGTCTTCTGAATGAAATATTTTTTACAGTATGTCTTATATTTGTCATATTTTGGAAGCATTTAATAACAGCAATGGATTACTTCAGTGATGAGCTATTATAAATTACAACTCTAAACATATGCTCATTAATGCAGACCAAGAGATACTGGGAGAAAGAAAAATGAAATAAACATTTTAAACAAAAACATGAGGTCAATCTTAAATTGACCAACCAATTATTACACTACTTTGCTATTAATTTGTGCACTAAATTATTTCCGTTATTAAAATAATATTGTGCTGCATGTACATATGTATATTCACCTAAATATTTCACTCTACATACATGAAAAAAAAAAAAAGAATTGGGAATTTTACCACATACATCTATAGAAAGTCAAACTATAATCTTGATTATACATGAGGAAAGTGGACTACGGTGACACCTACAGAAAAACATGCAGTTCAACAGTCAATATGCATATTTAGAGATACAATATTTAGATGGATATTCACAAATTTGTAATTGATGGGAATTCAAAGTGAATTCAAAATAAATTTAACATTTAAGGTCAAAGTAGCAGAACTGGAAGAATGGGTGAGAATCTTTTCATTTTGGCAACTGAAGCCTTAAATTTGAAGTTCACTTTCCATTCCCTACAACTCTCACTTTAGTGAATAACCTTGCACATAGTAAAGTTATGCAGGTGAATATAATTTGCTGTACATGCTTAATAGGGACAGCTGTCCGAAAATGTTGCCTTTTGCTGCACTAGGTCATTGGTATATATTTTCTTTTTTGACACTGCAATGACCACATTCCCTTTTCTTTGTTGTTTGCATGCTTAACAGTAGTTATAATCTCAGGGTCAAGTCCCCTTATGCCAAATGTTTAGATCCGTGGCACAGGCACTTAAATGTTATGAGCTCTCAGCCAGCTACCCTCAATAAATAGTGTTCTGCAGTGTCATTATCTTGTTGCTGTCATGATACTATCATGCATGATTTCTTTCCTGTCAAAACTGGCAATACCCACGTGTTACATTAACACTTCCGCTACTTTGACAGAAACGGAACTTGCTTCTGAACGGGCATCCAGTCACTGGATTCTCAGTCCATCTCACTTGTTAACTTTACTTATCTTGCATTACAGTAGGGAGTCCTAGTGGTAGTGCAGGCATTATTTAAGGCATGGGTCATCAACCTGGTCCCTACCGCCCACTAGTGGGCATTTCAGGATTCCAGGTGGGTGGTAGGAATTTCGGCAGCTAAATCCTCTCTTTAAAAGGATTTCTCCTTTTTTAGAATGGGCTGGTGCTAGCGGCTTGGGAGTGCAAAATATGTCAGTGACCGGCAGGAGGGAAGCGCTCCCTCCTGCCAGGCCACCTTCTGGACGTCATATTCCGGCTCCTGGCATCAGTAGACAGCCCATGAGGGAGCAGAGCAGAGAGGTTAGAGCTCCCTCGCCGCCTCGGATTAGAACTCTGCTGCCGAAGTGAAGCCCCACAGGACCCCAGGGACAGATCCACACCAGCTCTCCAGGTCGGGAGGCTGGGTGGATATTTAATATTAATAATTTGTGTGTCTGTAAGTGTATGTGTGAGTGTGTATGTGTGTGTGTATGTGTTTCTCTGTGAGTGTGTGTGTGTGTGTATGTGTGAGTGTGTGTATGTTTGTCTGTGAGTGTGTGTGTCTGTAAGTGTATGGGTGAGTGTGTATGTGTGTGTGTCTGTAAGTGTATGTGTGTTTGTGTGTGAGTGTGTGCTTTTGTAAGTGTATGTGTGTGTGTGTCTGTAAGTGTATGTTTGTGTGTGTATGTTTGTCTGTGTGTTTGTGTTTCTCTGTGAGTGTGTGTGTGTCTGTAAGTGTATGTGCGAGTGTGTGTATGTGTTTGTCTGTGAGCAGAGTAGTTGTAGAATAGAAGAAAGAAGAAGCAGAGTATTTGTAGAATAGGAGAAAAAAAAGAGCAGAGTACTTGTAAAAAGGAGAAAGGAGCAGAGTACTTGTAGAATATGAGAAAGAAGGAGCAGAGTACTTGTAGAATAGGTGAAAGAAGGAGCAGAGTACTTGTAAAAAGGAGAAAGAAGGAGTAGAGAAATTGTAAAAAAGGAGAAAGAAGGAAAAGAAGAGAATTGTTGTTGGCTAATAATAGTAAGTAGGCTACCTAGCTCAGCCTTCCTACTGGGCATTGCTATAAGGAAGGTTAAAAAATAGTAAAAAGGGGACAAAAAGGTGGGGAGGTGAATTGAGGATGCACAGATGAGAAATCATATTATGAGCAAACAGAGAAATTGTCTGAATATCACCGAAAGAAGAGATCTTTGTTTGTTCCTTACGAAAATCGAACCAGATATCAAATATTTAGTCTCGCAGCATCAACCTCAAGGATATCATTAATCACTAGTAAAGGTAATTTCAATTTACTTTGTTTTCTCATTAAACTTTGTAAAGTTAAAAACATTATAAACATGCATAAAGTAGAAATAAAAAGATAAATGTACGTACATTTATTTTTT